CCTCCCATGTTGAGTGGGGTCCCGGGGGTCCTGGCTCCCCGCCCGGCTCTGGTCGGGTCTCACCTGCACCTGGCTCCTGTCGCTGCTCTCAGGAGTGTCCAGGCCGTTCTTCTTTGCTGCTGGTGGAGTCCGACTCTCATGGTGAACCTTCTCTGTGCTCTCTGTGGGTGCACAGAGGTGATGGAAACAGGGACAACCCCCAAGCCCCCCTGCAATCACCTCCCGGGGAGGGGGACTGTGGGATACGGTTCTTCTTCCCCACATAAGTCTATAAACAAAATGCCTCAAGGCATCTCAAGGGACCCCATCTCTGTGCCCCTCAGGGACTCCGGAGCTTCCCACACCCACCTGAGACCACCATGGCCATGACCAGGTCAGCGTGGGCCGAGCGGGAGCTGATGATGTGCTGCTGGATGAGGAACTGGGCCACCTCCACGATGTTGTTGAAGGAGCGTTTGAGGATCTTCTCGGCCCAGTTGCAGGTGAGGGCACAAGCTGCCTCCATCACCTCGCTGCTGTAGGACTGCACCAGCTCCGTCAGCTCTGACTGCTGTCGGGGGGACAAGCTGTGAGCCCCCATGGCACCAAGGCAGGGTCACAAAGTCCTCACCACCCTTGGGAAGGCTCGTGGGACAGAGCAGAAGCTGCTCCCAGGGAGAGCATCCCCCCACCCCCTGTCTTCGTTAGAGCTAATGAGCGAGGAGGTTTGTTACCACTGGTGAAGCCCAAGCCACGGAGGCAGCCCAGGACTTACAGCCTCGGTGACTTTGAGGTCCAGGCTGGGCAGGGGGGGCAGGCTGACCACTGTCTTCCTCCGGATCCCGCTGTAGCAGTACGTGTGCAGGGTCAAGGTGGGTCACCAAAGGCTTGTCCTGGAGGGGTGGTGGCAGCCAGGAACCCCCCTACCCGCCATGAACCCCACACACAGCAAGGATGGGGCAACTCCAAGCCACTCTCAGACAACCAAGCTGAACCTTCAGGAGCTGAAACACCAGGGACCAAACCCTCCCAGGAGCTACGAACCACGTCAAGCACAGGCTGATAACTGGGAAGAACTGGAGAAGCAGCAGCTGCCACCCACCACCCCAGCACAAGCTCCCGAGCTGCCCTGGCCAGCCCAGCCACATGGAAAAATATTTCGACTGTCCTCGGCCTCCCAGCCTCCGGGCTTTGATGTTTGGGAAGATCTCCCGGATGATCTTGCCGAAGTTGGCGGTGCTGAGCGGGCGGCAGCAGAGGTTGTCGCCGTATCTCCTGGGGGGGAGCTGGGCTGAGCCCTCCAGCCCTTCCCGCTGCTCCCAGCTGACGTGGCTCATTCCCCCGAGATCCCAGGCACTCTCTGCCCTCCGGACCCACCTCCCCGCCAGGCTCTGCACCGGCCCAGCCCCTGCGCTCACTTGTAGGCGTCATAGACGTCCTGCTTGGGCACGCAGGTCTCCGTGTGCTCCTCCAGGTGGTCCCGGATCCAGTTGCACGCGTGCATGTACTCGGCCGCGCCCAGTGAGCTCAGGTCCAGGCTGCTGCTGCTCCCGGGGGGAGCACGACACAAACACTTCATTAGGAGAGAAGCTGCACGAGCAGGACAGGAGATGACAGAGTTGTGGCAATCCCCCAACCCCAGCCCTGGTGATCTGTGTCCCCCACCACCATCCCCACAGCCCCCGGACACGGCCCCAGCTCCCTCCAGCACCCACCTCTTCTCCCCCGGGCTCGGCCCCGATGGCAGCTGGAGGTAGAGGTAGAGCTTGTCACTGTCTGAAAACTTCTGGACATCTTGCTACGGTCAAAGGGTCCACAGGGAGGGGGAGAACGGACCAGAGACAAAGAAAGGTTAAGAATAAGGCAGAGCTGGTGCTGGTGCTCCTGGTACCCTCTGAGCAGCAGGAGCTGGAGGGGCACTGAAGCCAGAGCAGCTTTGTCAGTGTGAACACGGCCTGGGTGGGCGCGAACCGGGCAAACAAAGCCACACGAACTGCCCCTCGAGGGGACTGGAAAGGGTTGTCCCATGCAGGGCTGGGGGAGTGGGTGACACCCCTGGGCAGGGACAGCAGGGGCTGCTCAGGGCTAATCCCCACAGCCCGGTCCTGACCCGATGGGAAATGGGATCAGGCCATGGGTTCAGTTTACAGGAGGAGGGTGGGAGCCCATGGGGGGTGGCACCGTGCCCTTCCCGCCCCCTCAGCACTGTCAAGGGACTCACCAGGATGGAATCCACTTTGCTCTGCACGGATTTGCTGTGTGGGTCAGAGAGAAAAGGTGTCAGGGCAGAGTAGGACACCCGGCAGCAGCGGGGCACCCCAGCCCCCCTGCCCCCCTGCCACTGCCTGGGGCCGGCACCAGGCACAGGGCACCCCGAGGCCCTGCCACCCCCTGCGGCTGCAAATTAATCAACCCCATTAAATTATCCCACGTTTGGTAATGCTCAGAGTTGAGTGGAAGGGCTGCCCGGGGAGAAGGGAGCGTGGCCCTTACGAGATGGAGCTCCTCAGCTCCTGCAGCAATGTGCTGGACTCGGCCGCGCTGCCCCGCCAGACGCCGGGAGCAC